CGTATAACAAGAACAAATGGGAATAAACGGGAACAATCCGGAACAAAGAAAAAAATAAACAAACCATTCGATAATGAACACAAAGCAGGTAGTCATATAAATATAAGTTTAAGGTGAAGAAGCAGACGAATCAATTAGTAAATCTTTAGAAAATTTGGTACTTATGGGTTAAGAGGACGCCAGTCGGAAATAGCATTTTTTCCGAATAATGCAATTCTTTATTTGTCAAATTTAATACAATTGTTAAGTCAAACAATAAATTACGATTTATAAAGATATAACAAAATTTCACAAATTGTAATAATAAACCACTTCAATATGCAAATTGTTTTGTAGTGTATATGGCAAAAGGCGATATCTATCATCCTAATTAATTTTTTTTCATTTTTACAACAACCTTATCAGTAAATTTTCTTTTTAGATTTAAATTTACTAGTCTATTGTTATTTTCACTCAAAATCGCGACTTTGATCGCTATTTCCGACTGGCGTCCTCTTAACCCATAAGTATTTGAACCCATTTCATAAATGAATAAACTTGTTTCATATATTCCCAATGATGAGAAACAAAAATGAAGATTTAAAACCTATTATAGAAATACAGATTAGAAGATGGAGCAAAAATAGTTGGTTTCAAACTAGTAGTAGTAGATAAATATATTGCAAGAAAAGCAGCTAATTTATTTCTTGAACAATTAATTATGACTGATTAGAGTGTGGGCTAATAATAAAATAGACGAACTGGAATATAAATTAGGATCATAATTATTGTAGTTGTCTAAGAAATTAGCAGAATTAAAAAAAAAAACAGTAGTAATACCATCAAACATCGATGATGTAAAGAAAAGAACTCTGAGAATATTTGAAAAGGAATACTAAAAATTGTGTCAGCAATAAATGAAAAGATTTAAAAATTATAAATTAAATGGAAAGTACTGTATTCAAGAATTACGTTAAAAGTTTAAGTCTTATTCAACAAGTTAATTAAAAATTAATTTTATTATTCTTACGTTTATTCTCGTAATTGTTATTACTGTTTTCTTAATTTACTACTACAACACTAATAAAATATCGATTTATTCCAAAGGAAGAAACCGGGAATTCTCATCGAAAACACAAACTTTCGTCAGAAAACTTACATCAATAGTCACGGAAGATATTCATACGAACTGGACCCACGAAAAAGCCAGCCGCGCGTTCCACAGACGGCTAAAGGCTGCACCGTCTGCTATGGAAGACAGCAGAAACTTTAATAAAAATCTAAAAGAACAAGCCCGCACCGCTCTCGACGAGGCAGAAGCACTGTTTGACGGCCTACATAAGGCATACAATAACCTCCTCGAAGAAAGATTTACTCCTCAAAAACTTGCAGAATCTCCAGGGACTCTAAGACACCTGCTTGCCACCCCTCGCGATACAGAACTTTCCGACGCGAGAGAGAGAGAGAGAGACAGACACGAATAAACAACACACACCTCTTATCGACAGAAAAATCTTTTTAATTTAGAACCGAATGCTCCTCGTCCTAGCCGCCTCTCCCTCGCTGACGCACACACACGTCACGAGAAATATATATATACAAATATAAACATACAAACACACTCACCGATAGCATCGTAGCCGACGTCTCATTAGCGAGCGCAGCGCACGCGCCGGTCTGTCGCCTGCCTCGATATTCCCTCCTCCTCCGTCATCGTCGTCGCCGGTTCTTCCGTATTCGAGCTGAAAGAGTGAGCAAATGCAGACATTAGAGCTTTACGAAAACGAATAAATCCTTAATTTCAAGTAAAAGTACCTAAAATCCTGCTTAAAGGCCTCTCTCTCTCTCGGGAGCTAGCTAAATGCGCACTTGTCTCTTATGACACTAATACGTGTCCATATGCAAATGTGTCTGTAGAATTAGGTAAAAGGTGTCTTTTATCATCTTTCCAACTTACTTTTTCTTTACTTCAGCACAAACAAAATAAATATATTGAAAGATATAAAAACAAAAAAAATTATATTTTGGAAGTTAATCTAGTATCAAAAACATTCCGATTCAGCATGAGAAGCAAAACTCACCTCTCATGATGGGGAAAAAAGCCACGTTCAAATACTGGCGCGTCCTTAAATACCCTCTCGTGGACGTGCCAGTGCTGCCAACTAAAACACGCGCACCGACAAAAATAATATTGGAGTAGCCCAAGATGTAGCCAAATATTGCAGCGCCACAGCACTGGCGAAAATTTGAATTTGCCGACTCGAACGCTTTCGGTTGATCGGTATTCGGATAATCAATGCTCTACTGTACTTTCGTTTTATAAATATAAACTGCTGCCAAGTGTTTGCTAAATATAGTTCTGTGTTTAAAATTAGGTTTGTTTATCGCTTTTTGTAACTTTTCTTCGTCACAATATAATTTAATATTTTGTTGGTTTCTAATAGAACTTACCATACGGAGAATTAATGATTACGGTAATTTCCAAAAATCTTTTTCGAAATCATTTTTCACTGCTTGTAGTGTTGCAACGAATAGTATATTTAGTCTCAGGCCGAATAGCCGAATATTCGGCCAAACTATTCGGATTGATTAACGAACGTACGAAAATTGGCGCGCAAACCGCATTATGGCAAGGACCCCGCTCTCTATTGGCCCGCTGTCACTACGCTTCGCCAATCGCGTTAATTCTTGACAGTTGTAGCGGACAGACAAGCGCATTATGGCAGTATGTGATAAACGATGATATCAAATGTGGATAACAACGAAGTGACCTACACGTGTAAATAACGGAAAAAGAACAGAGAAGGACCGCGGTGTGAAAATCTGAAAATAAATATGAAATTGAGTCGATAACATAATCGAACAAGTCGAGGCAGCTTATTGGCGCGAAATTCGCGGCCGTCGATGCCAAACAATTGTTGTCATAGACTTCGGGAAGCTAAATGCTTGTAATAAAAGTCACTTAGCGTGCACGGGCGAAAGCCCGGGGCCGTTCGGGCTACCGAGCTGTCTCGAATCTGTGAAATCGTAACTGTGACTTATACCGACGTCCTATCTGTCTCTTTTCTCCGTTATCACCAGGCTATGAGTCACGTAATTGTATAATGGAAAATCTACGACGAAAAAGTGACGAATCGAAAGTATCGTGAGCGCGTATTATGATGTATGCGTAGGTATACGTGGACTAGAGCGATAGAGGAAAGAGAAAGAGAAGAGCAAAGACGAGCGCTTAAAAAGAAGGATAGGCAGGGTCAGACCCTCAGATGTGCGANTGAATCTTTGTTATTTTCATTCCCAAGCTCTTATAAAGCACTAATATTTTGTAATGAATTACATAATTTTTCTTATCATAGAAATGACAAAGCAGTTTTTCTACTTTTCCACCCGGAGGAATTCTATTTTCCGGAGCTAAAGGGCGATCATTGAATTTGTTACGAATAGTCAATCTATTGGAAATGATAAATCGACTTCTAAAACATAACCCGTATCTGATAGTAATATACCGTCAACATGCTTAATTTCATCACAAGTCAACCATTTACTCTTTTTGTAGTAAATTCTTAGATAAAGCCCATCCATATAGATTATTAGTATCTATATAGATAATCTGAGTATTTTCATCTTCTTGCGAATACCTGTTACTACACTGTAAAATACTTCATTTAATTCCGTTTTCAGAAAACAAATATACTTCATAATCTAAGTATATAAAATTACTTGTCCTCACTGACCGAGTGATTGATTCATTATCGCCCGGAGCAAACCGCTGAACCTAAAGAGGTGAAATTTGGTACACAGTTAGAGTACGTCATGAAAACGCACACTAAGAAGGAATTTTTCGAAATTCCCCCACGGGGGGAGAGGGAGAGCATTAAAGCTGAACTCGAAGAACGGCTTCCACTGTACTATTTTAGATGCGATGTTTTTCGTTTTTGCGGGAAATCGAACATATTTTTAGACCCATTTAAAAATTCCTTAACCCACGGTTAAGCGCGACGAGTTACTGTCGCACGGTTAGGCGCGCGTGATTCGAAATCAGTGCTGTTTCAAAATTCAATTTTTCAAAACTCATAGTTTTTTTTACGATTTTTTCATTTTGGATGTTTGTGGGCATGTGTTTTGATGTATTAGTGAAGAAAACTACTTCAAATATATCGTTTTTATTTATTCGTAACGAAAAACAAAAAGTCTCCCGTTTTTAAGAATTTTTCAAAAAAAATTGGTCAACTTCAAAAGTGTATTTTACAAACTGTAAACAAGTCTGATGCTATCTAAGCTGTCAATCGTCTTCCTGTATGTGTTTTTTAATTGTTTCAACAATTAAATTCTTTGTACCAAACCCCGGGCCAAAAATATCTCAATATTTTCAAAAAAAAACACCATCTAAAATCACACAGCAAGTAGAGGTAAAAATGGAGATTATTGGCAGATAACATCGATAGTAAACTTCTTTTACACTGTAATTGGTTAATTTATATGTCTGTTATTAGATCGACCTATAAAAACAATTGCTGGAAATATTCCCGCGAAATGCCACGCCCCCGAATGCTACCACATGGAAGTATGTAAACAATCGCTATAAAATCGCGTGTTTTAATCTTTTTTTTCACTTCTAATTTGCTAATGATAAGTCGCTTGACAGTATTTAGACCAGGGGTGGCCAACCTTTTGAATACCATGCGCCAATTTTTTGATAGACGAGTTCAGATGCGCAGTGGCGTACCGTGAGTGTTAGCCGCCCGAGGCGGAGAAAAATTTCGGCCACCCCTTAATTAGGTATTTCAATTTATAAGACGAAAATTCAGTTTTGCCACAGAACAAGCAATGAAAAATGCAGTTGTAGTGTAGTTACCCGTATAAAATAGTTCTATATGCCACTAGTGGTGTACATGAACACGAATGTATNATGATTTTTTCACGCATTAAATAATCAAATATTTAACTTAATTCCAACTAATTCCTAATTTCCCATATTTCCATGAAAATTTACATCTGTTTCCAAAGTATTTCACAGTGCATGTACAAGTATTTCTACAGTGATCACCCCCTCGGTAGGGAGACAGACAGAGACATAACAGCCAAACAGAACGTGACATATGAAAACAGTGATTTACATTTGGTGTTCGGTTTCCCTCGGGCTTCGTCTCCAATCTTCAGAAAAAGTGAACAAAGCTGTATGTTGCCTCGGACGTAGCTTCGGGGTTCTCATTTTCACTTTTATCACGAAAGCTGAAACATAAGGAAAGATTAACAGATACGTATGCACTAATTATAAACATGATTTAATCTAAAAGGTACTATTCCAAGCTGACAATCTAGTTGAAGGTATACGTAAAAAAATTAATGTTTTGTTTTTTTTATTTCCTGCATGCAATTATTTATATTTTTAATATTCTAACAAAAAAAGTAAAATTAAAGAGGAGATCTTTTTATCAGAATTAATATCTATTAGCATCAGTGGCGTGTTCAATACTTTATCGGTTTTAGAAAATAAAGAGTTATTTTTAATTAATTTCTTAGTAGCTGATCAAGCTTGTACGGGTTAATTTGGCGCCATGGTTACAGTTATTTTGTTTAAAAAGGTTTAAATATAAAAAGTTATTAACTGTATTTGTTAATTGTATTAATACATTTTAGTTTTTAATTATTATTTTTTCAAACGGCGTATGTTTGTATCACAGAACAGCCTAATATTTTCGCTTTGTTGACATGTCAGTTTGGTAATATTACCTTACAGATAGTAATGACTTAGTTACCAGCACACTTTTGAATATGTAAAGAAATGTTTAATATTCTAAAACATTCTAAAGCATTCTAAAACATTCTAAAGCATCTAAATTTCAACAGGACGAGAGCATTGACCAAGATCTGGGAATTGTTAACAAAAATTTGTTATATACAAACAATTTGAAAATATAAAATATCAGAAATCAAATAAATTATTTTAGAATAAATTTAAAGAATGACGAATACTAAAGAATGTAAAATTGTTGCAGAGTGTTATACACCATTAAAAACAAAACAACCATCTGAACTCCAGTAATTTAAAAATAGTTGCAAATCTTACTCAAGATAAAAAACTAAATATACCAAAAAATATTAATGAAGTAAGTCAAATGAGAAATCTTAATTTTGTCATTGAATATCTCAATTCAACCGTAAATAAAAAAAACTAACAGACTTTTAAATTTGCAAAAATCTATTTCCAGAAATTCCTTAAATAAATAGAGAGTTAAATTCAGTTGGCATTAAGATTGCACGTATAACAAGAACAAATGGGAATAAACGGGAACAATCCGGAACAAAGAAAAAAATAAACAAACCATTCGATAATGAACACAAAGCAGGTAGTCATATAAATATAAGTTTAAGGTGAAGAAGCAGACGAATCAATTAGTAAATCTTTAGAAAATTTGGTACTTATGGGTTAAGAGGACGCCAGTCGGAAATAGCATTTTTTCCGAATAATGCAATTCTTTATTTGTCAAATTTAATACAATTGTTAAGTCAAACAATAAATTACGATTTATAAAGATATAACAAAATTTCACAAATTGTAATAATAAACCACTTCAATATGCAAATTGTTTTGTAGTGTATATGGCAAAAGGCGATATCTATCATCCTAATTAATTTTTTTTCATTTTTACAACAACCTTATCAGTAAATTTTCTTTTTAGATTTAAATTTACTAGTCTATTGTTATTTTCACTCAAAATCGCGACTTTGATCGCTATTTCCGACTGGCGTCCTCTTAACCCATAAGTATTTGAACCCATTTCATAAATGAATAAACTTGTTTCATATATTCCCAATGATGAGAAACAAAAATGAAGATTTAAAACCTATTATAGAAATACAGATTAGAAGATGGAGCAAAAATAGTTGGTTTCAAACTAGTAGTAGTAGATAAATATATTGCAAGAAAAGCAGCTAATTTATTTCTTGAACAATTAATTATGACTGATTAGAGTGTGGGCTAATAATAAAATAGACGAACTGGAATATAAATTAGACAACTACAATAATTATGATCCTAAGAAATTAGCAGAATTAAAAAAAAACAAAACAGTAGTAATACCATCAAACATCGATGATGTAAAGAAAAGAACTCTGAGAATATTTGAAAAGGCATACTAAAAATTGTGTGAGCAATAAATGAAAAGATTTAAAAATTATAAATTAAATGGAAAGTACTGTATTCAAGAATTACGTTAAAAGTTTAAGTCTTATTCAACAAGTTAATTAAAAATTATTTTTATTATTCTTACGTTTATTCTCGTAATTGTTATTACTGTTTTCTTAATTTACTACTACAACACTAATAAAATATCGATTTATTCCAACGGAAGAAACCGGGAATTCTCATCGAAAACACAAACTTTCGTCAGAAAACTTACATCAATAGTCACGGAAGATATTCATACGAACTGGACCCACGAAAAAGCCAGCCGCGCGTTCCACAGACGGCTAAAGGCTGCACCGTCTGCTATGGAAGACAGCAGAAACTTTAATAAAAATCTAAAAGAACAAGCCCGCACCGCTCTCGACGAGGCAGAAGCACTGTTTGACGGCCTACATAAGGCATACAATAACCTCCTCGAAGAAAGATTTACTCCTCAAAAAACTTGCAGAATCTCCAGGGACTTTAAGACACCTGCTTGCCACCCCTCGCGATACAGAACTTTCCGACGCGAGAGAGAGAGAGAGAGAGACAGACACGAATAAACAACAAAACACACACACACCTCTTATCGACAGAAAAATCTTTTTAATTTAGAACCGAATGCTCCTCGTCCTAGCCGCCTCTCCCTCGCTGACGCACACACACGTCGCGAGAAATATATATATACAAATATAAACATACAAACACACTCACCGATAGCATCGTAGCCGACGTCTCATTAGCGAGCGCAGCGCACGCGCCGGTCTGTCGCCTGCCTCGATATTCCCTCCTCCTCCGTCATCGTCGTCGCCGGTTCTTCCGTATTCGAGCTGAAAGAGTGAGCAAATGCAGACATTAGAGCTTTACGAAAACGAATAAATCCTTAATTTCAAGTAAAAGTACCTAAAATCCTGCTTAAAGGCCTCTCTCTCTCTCGGGAGCTAGCTAAATGCGCACTTGTCTCTTATGACACTAATACGTGTCCATATGCAAATGTGTCTGTAGAATTAGGTAAAAGGTGTCTTTTATCATCTTTCCAACTTACTTTTTCTTTACTTCAGCACAAACAAAATAAATATATTGAAAGATATAAAAACAAAAAAATTATATTTTGGAAGTTAATCTAGTATCAAAAACATTCCGATTCCGCACGAGAAGCAAAACTCACCTCTCACGATGGGGAAAAAAGCCACGTTCAAATACTGGCGCGTCCTTAAATACCCTCTCGTGGACGTGCCAGTGCTGCCAACTAAAACACGCGCACCGACAAAAATAATATTGGAGTAGCCCAAGACGTAGCCAAATATTGCAGCGCCACAGCACTGGCGAAAATTTGAATTTGCCGACTCGAACTTGCCTATTTACGTAATTTTCAAGTTTACAAATACAGTAGATCCCCCTATAAGACGGTAGATACGTTCCGTTCTTTATGAATCAATTTTGTAGGAATCATAGTTTACGGACTACGGCTGTTTGAAAGGTTTTCTTTCATAAAATTAATCGATTCTAGACTAATTCGACTCAACATTTCCAAAATACGTATATTTTTTTG